GTAAATTTTAGTTTTAGTTATTATTGCTGAAAATGACAAATATAACACTACTTTTGGTTTTAATATGTATCTTTTAAGGCAACTTCTTTATGCTATTAGTTATTTAGTCGTCAATTAAATCGTCTCTATAATTGTAATTTACCATATTACGCATATGTTAACTATATGTTAACGTTGAAAAGGTTAAATGCATTCTAAAGTTGGACATTTGTTCTGTTTAAAATAAATTAATTTATTTTATTTTTATGTTAAATATAGTTTCAAAAAATATTCATTATTTCTAAAGACTAAAAACACTTCACGTTATTCACAAGAATATATAGTTTGCTTGCTTATCATTTTGTTCTGCACTTCAAGTTATTTAAATGAATTTATTAAAGATTATAGTTATTTCACGATATTTCTAATTTATAAGTGTTGTACTTAATGTAATTGTTAATTTTAAAGAATTTTATATAGGCAGTTTAATAGCAAAATTAATAGATCACTGTTTTTGATTATATTGTATATATGTTATATTAATTAAGGCTTATCTGAACATATACTTGTATAGTATACCAATATATGTATATATAGTATAACATATTTATAAAATAACCTGCCTTGAGTTAAAAGCAAAAAAATTTCGAAATGTCTACAATATAGATCTAATCATATAAATTATTGATAGACGATAATATTATATATTAATTTTGTTATGTTTTTTAATTCTCTAAATCAGTATAAATGAATTAAAAAAATTAATATTTAAATTTTCAATTATAAAATCTAATTTAAATATGAAAAAAAAGAAGAATTCTTTTTAACTAATACACAAAATATTAAAATCTATTTGTTATATTTGTAATTAATTATAGACATATGAAGCGAGTCAACAGTAAATATAAAAAGCAATTATTTAGATAATTATCTCAACAAATATATTCAAAATTGCTTAGTACAGAAAAAATTAAAAAAAATTAGTATTAGTACTTATATCCACAAAACAGCTTACGTTGTAGAAACTTTCGTTAAGATCGGTATGATTTTTATTATTCTATCTTTTTATTTGAAATGACAAAAACATCCGCTAAAAGAAATATTTAAATACAGGGTAATTCATCACAAAGTACAAGTTGTCTTTAGCATCCCATATCTCGACTAAAACAAAAAACGTACTATTTCATTACCTTTGGTACAATTTTTATTTGAATCAAGTAACTATTTCATAAAATGAATGTACCTTATTTGTATTTAAATTCCATACATCTCTATATTATATATATAAACATATATGATATACTTCAATAAACTTAATTTTAGAGTCTTAATATATGTGGAAAAATATTATATATATAAAGTTAGTTAAAATATTTGTATATTAGTAAAAGTGACATTTCAAACTATAAAGTTTGCATACAATATATTGATTAGGCCAACCCTGTATGTTGGTACATAATGACAATAAACCCCACCCTCAAATTACGACTTTTTTGGACTAAAAAATCATTTCCGAACCTTACAGGACGTTCCCCATAAATAGTCTACCCAAAAAATAATTTGCCCAAAAATAATCAATTTTAATTTTTCGCTACGTCTGTTGATTGCTTGTTTTTCAACAGTTAATTAAGTGAGTCATAAATGGATACCATTTATGAAGCTACATAAATAGATGACTTTTAAATCTTCTTCAAAACATACATATGTATGACACAAATATATATATGGATCTTTGCGCCAGCTGTTTAAGTAAGTCATCATGAATATACATATGTATATTATATGAATGTACATAGTCGGCAGTTTTTCTATCTTCTGCCGACAAAATATTTGTAACTGTCATAAGTATATCTATACATATTCTATCTCATCTCAACATTTCGTAATTGACGACGTCTGGCGCTTCTTTACACCAACTGTTTAACTTGATTGACTATAAATTTTAATATTGCATCTACAAAACATTTATATTTGTCATATATACTACTATATATGTACATCTGTATTCTGTATAATTTTCCAACATTTCATATTTAATAATGTCTAACGCCTCTCACTACTAACTGTTTAAATCACTACTGACTATTAGTTTACACGTTCGGATTTGACATTTAAAATCCACAATCTTGTAATACAATATCATCAGATAAAGGTGTGCGTGATTGCTGATAACGATATAATTTTAGGTAAGTGAATGTTTTGCAGAAACAGTTTCATAAGAAAAAGTCGTTTACTTATAGTAAATTAAAAATCTGTAACTACTTTCAAACAATGTTTAAATAAATTTCAACATAATCTAAAAACAATTTTGTATCGATATATAACTTTAGGTGAAACAGTCAAAATAGTGGTTTTCCTAATCAAGGTACTGTGAATAAGTCGAGAATAGTTCTAAAAGTAGGAAACACTAAGGTTTTCAGTCGATAAAGACAAAGCAATAACAGGACAATATTCAATTAGGAAAAAACAATGCATTCAGAAAGGGTTTAGTTATACCGAAATAAAATATATTAACTCAATCGCTAGTAACTGGAATAGCAAAACCAGATTATGCTACATTTCATTTGTAATTATTTATTATTAAATTTAGTAAAATGACTTATTGGGATGAAATCTCTTTACAACAAATGAATATTTTGAAGATATCCAAAGATCATGTTTTTCAGAACTTACAAAATATGGAATACTAAACCAATAAAAGTATAGAGCTCGAAGTGGATTATGTATAAAATTAAATTTAAAAGTAAAAAATAATTCTTATATAAGTGTATATTATTAGTATTTACTTTATAAATATATATATATATTTAAATTCAACAGTATTTAAAAGCTATTAAATATATTGTATTCATAAACATATTTATATATTATCTTTGAAGGATATATTGTACATTAAACTACGTATAAAAATTTAATTTTTATCAGATTTTTTTTTTTTGAATGTAAAGCCCTATTATTATAAATGTCTTTACACTTTTTCTTTCATAAATTCTTCACAGTTCTTTAAGTATATGTTCGAATATACGAAAACCGAAGGTTTAATCATTTCAAAACCTAGAAGTTCTTAGCCGCTGCGTAAATATAATGAGAAGTAATCCGCTACGAAAGTATTTTTAAGGCTGGTCATTGGAGTTAGTCTATATGAAGTAACACAAATCATACTTGAAAACATATTAGCAGAATTAAGTTAAATAGAAAAAAATCAAATGTTGTGTCATACAAATATCCATGAAGGGTTTGTAATAAGTATAATTGGAGAATATATTCTTATGGTCCAAGACAAAGAAGCATAACAAAATTGTATTTTTTATATATAAACTTAAACTAGTTTATATTTAGTAGTTATTTTATTTCATTTCCTAATTTTATATCTCATGAATTGTATTTAGTTTTATTATTATTTTTTTATTATTTTGTTTTCTTATATAAACATATAATACAAAAACTCCCTATTAATTTTTTTAAATGTTTATCAAAATTAATTTTTTATTTTGAAATTCTTAATTGTCGTTATCCACAATATAGAAATATATTGAAAATTTCGTTTGGTTAAATATTTAACAACAATATATAAAATATTTTTATTATGATTATTTACATTAACATTAAAAAAATACGTATTCAAAATTTAATCTTGCAGCCTAATTCCGCTTTTTCATTTCACAGAATGACGTCGCTTTATATTTTTGTTTTTGATTTATTAATTACCACTGATCAATTTTTAGTATTTGAATCATATTGCAAATAACAAAATAGGGCAAAAAAATAAAATTTATAATTAGTACAAAAATAATTGAAGTTGTTTAAAAACATGATTTCTACCACCTTTTCTATATATATTTTTTTATATTTATATTTCTTTATATTTATATTTATTTATATTTTTGTATTTAATTTTAACATATTTCTGGTATTAAAGCGGGTTCACAACTTTAGGGATAAATGAATCAGATTGTCACTCACACATCTTTTTATATAACTAAGATGGACACTTCTTAGATAAATATGAAAATTCTGTCATTTTATTTTAAATTTTTTTAATTGCTACGTCGAAAATATTTTAAAGTCGGACTTGTTTTGTCAAAATTGTAACTTTTATTTCGATCGTTGTTTTTAGTATATACTAGTATATAAAAACAACGTTCGATATAACAGTTAAAATTCTGAAAAAACAAAACCGATGAAAACTATGCCTTCATAAACTACAAATATTTTGCAATTACTTTTGGCAATCATTTTATTGTATTATTGGTATTTGCCAGTTACTACCTGGTCGATTGTTATTAGATTTAGAAAACAAAATAATTCTTTTAAAATGCTCTGAGCATACAATGCAAGTAGTTACATATATCTATACATATACAACATATATTTTTGGTTTCATTGGTTACACTTCACTTTTAAGAGGAGAAGGTTATTCTTTTATAAATATACTCGTAAATTGCCGAACATATGCATTCAATCTCCATGCAAGGTAATAATATCTTTGCATACCTGAGGTTGTTGCAAACATTATACCTCTTGCTGTGACTTACAATCCCATTAGCTTTGTGTACATATCGAAGAGGTAAACATAAAATCTGTTTATTTATTTAAAAGTGGAAATTGCCGGTTTCCCATACATGCTTAGATGTAATTACTTTTTAGAGAATTTTTTTTTTTATTTTATTTACATTAAATTCACATGGTTAAACGAATTTGACTTTATTCAATAAATTTTTATTATATTTGCTTTTTTTTATGTTGTCGTAGAAAAAGAATATTATATTTTCATTTATCTTATTTGTTCATGTATACTAATGTGAGATGTTTCTTTATTTCCCTACATTTCTATACAGTTCATACTCGTCTAAGATACTATAGTATTAAACGATACTACTTTTACTTTTATTCAAAATAACTTTAAAATATCTCCGGTTTTTTCCAACTGCACAAAACTTTATTGTAAATATATTAACTTATCATATTCACACCTTCTTAAATGTAGATTTTTATTATTAAACATTAAGCATTAAACTTACTAATTGAACTATTAAGGAATGTTATAGTTGCGAAGGAGAGAACAATCTGCAGTATTTGAGTTGTGTTTATGACCGAACACCACAGTTTAAATAACAATCATTTACACCCGAACGCGTATATTGCATAAATACTTTTAAATAATAGGTAAAGATTAAGTAGTAATAAAGAGTACGACTAACACAAAAATATACACATTATAAAAGATATAGTGAGTATGAATACTCGTATATGAAGAATATTTAGACTGTGAAATAATAATTCAAAAATTTAAATATTTATTTGCTTCGGCACTTATTTATTTATTGCAAAAAAAAAAACGAAGCGACTATTTAACAAACTACATCCGAGAACGATTTGTGCGGTACTGAACTGAATATTGAATGTTGCCCGTTTCTTGCTGAACAAATAAAGTGACAGATACAAAATTGTTTATACGTCTGTAAGTATGCATGTATTTTTGCTGAAACTGAAACTGAGACATATGTTGATATGTGCAATATATACATAACACTATATCAGCAATGTTTTTTTGCTTTTGATTATATAGTACATATTCTTTTATTATTATTATTATTTTATACATATACATATGTTTTTAAAATTCCTTTATATAATATGTAATCACAATGTTTTTATTTACACTAATTTAATATAATTATAATTGGATTTTTTATACATTGCTGCAGCTTAATATTTACAAAAGTTCATATTACTGCTCGTAAAAAAACAAAAAGTACCGATTTAAGTTTTAAATTACCGGGCACCTGCAGCGATTCTGATTGTTTTTGTTTACTTTTGATATTTTATAACTTACATATTTAATTTTTTGTCTAATTATGACTAATTTCATAGTAATGTCTATAGAAATTAGATATATTTGCACTTATTTTCAATGTGTTTTATGTTGTGAAATCTATAATATATATACCTTCTGCTCAAAAAGTATCCGGATTTTGTAAATAAAACACACAAATTTAAATTTTATTGCAAATTTATTTTAGCTCCTTCTGAAGCGATACACATATGCCAACGCTTAACCCAATCTTCCATACACTTTTCGTAGGCTAGTGCAGGTATGGCTTTTAGTTCCTTCAGCGAATTCTCTTTTACCGATTCAATCGACTCAAAACACTTACCACGAAAGGGCAATTTGAGTTTCGGGAACAGGAAAAAGTCGCACGGCGCCAGATCTGGCGAATATGTAGCCTGAGCGACGACAGTGGTGTCGTGTTTGGTCAAAAAATCGCGTACAACAAGAATTTTCCATAGTAAAAATCACTAAATGCACTTGAGGTAGTCTTACATTAACAGCTGCTGTAAACAAACTAGAAAGAAAGTGTACCAACAAAAAAAAAATTTTTTTTGAAAAAGTTCTATTACTTAAGGAGTAATTAACAAACAACAAAATCGGGATACTTTTTGTGCAGAAGGTATGACTAACTACATACATACATGTAACTAAGTTGCTGGCATCCAGAATGTAACTTCTTGATCTAGAAACTAAAACATGTGCTAGAAAGGTTGGAGGCAACTAATTTACAATATAAACCGAGCTACATGCACCCAGTAGGTAACCCAGTAGGTAGATCCAAGAAACTAAAACATGTGCTTGAAAAGTTGAAGGGAACTAATTTACAGTACAAACCGAGATATATCTACCAAAATAAAAATGCATTCGAAAAAAAATATCAATTAAAAAAATATATATAATAATTTATTAGCGGGTCACTTAAATAGAAATAAAAAAACTATAATTTATTATTTATATTTAAAAACAATTTATATTTTATTAAAATATTTTTCCGTTATTTCGACATTCTCGGATAGTCATCTTCAGGGCAACTGGCAACTAAACAATTTTAAGAAAAGTGTTCAAACATCTTATCTTAACATTTAACATATAACTCAAAATATGTTATTGTGAACTACCATCATTTCCAAATACATTTACGTACACAACACATTTAAATTGGGTTGACTGTAACTGATGTCCTACATATCCTTCTGCAAATGCAGATCGTCCTCATGAAATCTGACATTCTTATTCATATAAATATCCTAATTTAAATACATATCCCTAATCATATTCTCATTATACTATTACCGCATGTACACACTCTTTTTTGCTTGCTAAAGCTTAGTACTAGTACATATAAAAAAACATTTTTTTATGTGGAGCTTCGTCTCAATTTTTTATGCGAAATGGATGTTAGGACTAGGTTTCACGAAAAAAAAGGAAGACAAAAAGTATAAAAGCAAAGGAATTTCTCTGAATTCAAAGAAAAAATGATCATGTTATTTAAAACATTATGCTCTGATATATATGTACTGACTTTGACACATAATCCTTTTATTGCACTATTATTTGTTTTTTATATAAAATTGAGAACATAAAAAGCAAGCAAAAATTTGATATGAACTTTTATTGATGTTAAAAAGTATGAATTGATTAATTTGTTACTATTAAGATTTAATTCTAATTCTTAAATATATTTGAGCGATATTGTTATATTAGAATAGACTTCTATTTAACTATTCTAATATGTTTATCTTTGAAAATTATTGTAATATAATGATATAATATAATTCGTATAAAGTTATTTAAGTTATGATATTTACTTAACTTCAGATAAATACGACAATAAGCAATGTTATATATAAAGCGAGGCAAAAATCCCAGACTAATAATATGAAATATTTAATTTGAAAAAAACAAACTGATCATTTAAATGTTTTTTTTTTTTAAAGAAATGAAATATTTTAAAATTGGCAATATTGCAATAATATATTTACACTTAAAATGTTAATGAAATATTTCGATAACTACTCATATTTATAACGTAGACGATATTAACAAATATAATTTTGATTAAAATTAAATAAGTTACAATTAGTTATAATTAGTGTAGGATATGATGAAAAAAAACAGTCGTTTTTTAAATTTTTAAATATAATAATTAAATTATATATATAAATATATATATATAAATATATATATATAAATAAATAATACTTCTTACTTTTAAAACATTTATTAAGTAAATTACATTTCAATTTTTTTTAATTAATTTTATAAAAAACTTAATCGGCATTCCACATCATCATCATCATCCGTGACTACACAGTCCATGTAGGACTTAAGCCTGTTTAACAACGTTCTTCCATTCTTCTCTGTTTTTTGCTTTTGTTTTTCAATTTCTTATGTTCATTTCTTCAAAGTCCTGCAGCACACTGTGTTTCCGTCGTTTTTTTGGTCGCCCTCTTCTTCTGCTGGTACCTACTTTGTTCGCATAAATATTAAGCGGGTCTCTCATATCCGGCATTCTTATCACATGCCCAACCCATCTTAATCGTTGCTTTTTCTTAAATTTGTTGATTGTATCACCTTCAGCTAGCCGTTCTAGCTCGTGGTTGTATTTTATGCGATACATTCCGTTTTTTTTCACGGATTTAAATTTTTTTCTAAGTATTTTTCTTTTAAACACTGCTATCTTGCTTGCTTCAGTTAATTGGCATTCCACATATAATTAAAAAAAATTTTATAAATACCATAAAAAAAAACTTTTTATCAATTTTGAATTTTATAGTCATACGATCTGAACGACCTTAGACAGTTACACAATCCCAGCTTATTGTTTTGTCTATGGTTTGAAATGTGGTGTTCACCCTATTAAGAAACCTATTCTAGTTCTTAAAATGCTTATCAAAATGGCATCGTCAACAGTGATGAGGAAGTAAATGCATTACCGTCTAAAGAAGAAATTTTTGAAATCCCAATATATTTATCTTAAGATATTAAGACGTTTTCTTTTAGGAATACAGAATTAGCTGTATATACTTGAATGGAATATACTGATATAAGTACTAAAGAAAGAAATCAAAGTAATACCAGTATTCAAGTTCTAATAGAAATTATGAGAAGTGAACATTTACTTTATATAAATATTTGACACATTATTATACTAGTTTTATAAAGAAAAATAAAATGCTGAAAATAAATTAGATATGCAAAGCAAAAAATTTCTTGAAATATATTTTACGCCAATGATTTAGTAATTAACATATAGGTTATATTATATCATTCTAGAAAACTTATAGAAATTCCTCGTATTGTAGCAGAGGTATTATAAACTTACACAAATAAACTTAATTAAAACAAAGAATTTGTTTTTATTATATGGACATATCTTTTTAATTTATAAAAAATAAATCTCAATAAATTTGTAAATGCTATATACTATAATATACAATAAAAAATATATAGTACAGACTTTATATCTAAACAGAAAAATATTTTGTGTTTTAAACAATATATATTTTATAGAATTGAATGTATATGAATTCTGCTATTATAAAACTGAAGCTTTTATTTGTGCAGATTTGCAAAACAAACCTAACAACTGTTTTATTATGTTTTGAATTTGTCTCAAAATTTCGTCATAGATGATATGACGATTTGATAACATTTTATTAGATTATATTTCGTCTTCATATAAAGAAATATATACAACAAACATATACGAACACTATTTAAGTGTTTTAAAAATATATATTCGTATGTGAGAGAATGAAAACCTGTATAAACTACAAATAAATATTTTATTATTTAATAATTGCCAAATAATGTCTCTATAATTCTCACAGACAGGTTAACATGACATCTCTCTAATTGTACTTGTACTAACACTAATGCTAGTATATAGAAATTACACTCTTTATATTGTTAAGTACAAATAATTATCTCAAACGTAACACATGTATATCACAATTCTTATACTTCGCAACGCACCCGTAATAACATTATATACATTAAAAGAGTTGAGTTTAAAATTAAGCATAAAAATACCGCCCTTAAAAGCCCTTATAACATTTAGACAAGAACATCCATCTTATTTAACATCAAGAACTGGTCCTGTTAAATAACAACATAAAAACTTATTAAACGACTAAGTATCTTTTTTTTTATTTTAGCTATTCTCATACGTTATCGTTTACAGGGCCTTTCTTTAGTAGGTAATTTTTTAATATAAAGGTACTTCAACAACTTATAATCAATCTGTTTGCTAATATTATATTTTACTAAATAATTTTTAACAAATCATCATGTAGAGATCATGTGAGTACCGACTATCTGCTAGAGCAGCGATTTTAGATATGTAATATATCTAAAATAAATGTTTAGAAGAAATATTTGCTGAGTTACACCCTGATGCTAACACTTTCACATATATATTCAAATCATTGTGAAATAGAAAAATTATCACATTTGCATTAAAAAAAATCCAAAAGTGATTTATCGACTACAGATGCATTTAGAAAAATTCACTCTCTGGTAAATAGTATCTATAATTTATATATCTA